CTAGTATAATTTAAGGAATATTCCTTAACTAAGGGATATTGGAGTCTCTGAGGACAGGGCCTTGCCGTCGGCATCGAATACTGGCGAGCCAGACCTGCGCTGATTGAACACATGGCCGAACAAATGGTTTAGGGTTTAGGGTTTAGGGCTTATAGGGTTTAGGGTTTAGGGCTTATGAAAGTAAAGCGCTTCCGGATGTGTTTCGGGGGCTTCTGATGAGCTGCGGGCGTCCTTGCATTCATGAGCTTCGACCTCGAACCCCCGACATCCCAGACATGAACTTGCGGATCACCATACATGAATGCAAGTAAACCAGGCAACCAAAATCTTTCTTCGTTGGCCCCGGAGTAGTTTTCCATGATTGGCCCGCAACACCTTCCTCGGGTTCTCAGGGCCAGACATCGAGGGCCTAGGGTTTAGGGGTACCCAGGTGTTCCCGAGCCCATCTCATCCTCACTGTCAGCTTCAGGTTAACCCTACACAACCAAGCCCCCAAAAAGCCCAAACCTGAGCTCCTTTAACCTGACAGCGCCTACCCATAGGCCCCGTAGTAGTTACTTTTGGGGACTACCTTATAAGATTCCAAATATGAACCCCAAAGTATTCTATCAGGTTTAGGGTTTAGGGTTCAGGGTTTCGCTACGGCATGCAAAATGCCATTGACGATGGACGGTCACATCTGAACATGTCGCTTGTAATGCAAGCGCTCCAGCAAGGGGAGAAGGGGGGCAGGGGTCGACTCCCTGCAAGCCCTAAGACTAAGGCCTTGAACCCCAAATTCAAACTCGAGACTCTAAGCCGATAACGCAATGACCCTGAATACCGAGGTCCTAAACCCCCTAAACCTTAAACCCCTAAACCCCTAAACTCCTAAACCCTAAACCCTAAACCCTGCAGCCCCAAAGCCCCATGCCCTGCAGACCGAACGAGCTGAAAGCCAGGCATACCCGGCAGCGTCGGTAAGGCCAGCTGCACGAAACGCGTCGCTGGATCCTGAGTTTCAGGCTGTGGGTTCAGGGCTTAGGGTTTAGGGTTTCAGGCTTTGCGTTTAGGGTTTAAGGTTTAGGGTTTAGGGTTTAGAGTTTCAGGCTTTGGGTTTAGGGTTGAGGGCTTAGAGCTTCAGGCTTTTTGAGGCGTTGCTTTGTGGTCTGGCACGGGGGAGGCCTCCAGGGCTTTGGGTTTGGGCCGCATGGTTTAGGGTTTAGGGTTTAGGGTTTAGGGTTTAGGGTTTAGGGGCTGAGGGCTTGTGGTTCAGGCTTTAGGGGTGTGGGGTCTCGGATGGCTTCGGGTTTGGGCTGTAGGCCTTAGGAGTCGGACAATGGGTTCGGTGTTTCTGTTTAGGATCCCGGAGATGTAACGCGGGGCCTTAAGTGTCCGCCAAAGATAAAGAAGCTTCGGTGATTGCACTTCGTCATATTAATCCCAGGTAGTCCGCATACAACTAGATCACACCATCATGTATTCCAAGCTCGATTCTGTATAAAGCCCCTTTAACGATCTTGGGCACCCTGTACAGCACCCCTTATAGAACCAAACAGCAAGCCGACAGCCCCCAAGTGTTGAGCCTGAGGCCCCTTCATTCGAAGCCATGGATTCCTGAATCCTGGGCCCGATAAATCAAGGGTTTAGGTTTTAGGGTATCACAATCCTATACCCGAAAACATATTAGGGGTTTAGGGGTTCAGGGTTCAAACCCTAAACCCTAAACCCTAAACCCTAAACCCTAAACCCTAGGGTTTACAGGGTTCAGGGTTCAAACCACAAACACCTCAACTTAGACGAATGATCCTCCCGCCGGCTGCATCGGACCGAAGCCCTGCACTCCGAACCTAAAGTCAAATGCCCTGGTTTAGGGTTTAGGGTTTAGGGTTTAGGGTTTAGGGTTTAGGGTTTAGGGTATGTAAGTAACCTAAATCTGAAGCTTAAACCCCAAGCCCTGAAACCACATTACACTAAACCCTCAGACCTATAACCCTAAACCCGAAACCCTAGAACCCTAAACCCTAAACCCTAAACCCTAAACCCTAAACCCGAAACCCCGACAAACCTAAAGCCAAAGGCCCTGAGACTTGAAAATTGCAGAGGAGGCGTCCTCTGCTAGACCCCGGAAGCTCTGCCTGAAAGAGGCGACGGGTGCCTTATAACAATAATAATTTAGGGTTTAGAGTTCAGGGTTCAGGGTTTAGGGTTTAGGGTTTGGGTTAATAACAACAATAACAATAACAATAACAATAACAATAACAATAACAATAATAACAATAACAATAACAATAACAATAACAATAACAATAACAATAACAATAACAATAACAATAATAACAATAATAGTAATAACAATAATAATAACAATAATAACAATAACAATAATAACAATAATAGTGATAACAATAATAGTGATAACAATAATAATAACAATAATTGCAATAACAATAATTGGTCTTCTTGAAGGGGCTCCTGTTTGGTTCTGGTTTGGGGGTTTGGGGTGGGACTTTAGGGGTACGGGGTTTAGGCTTCAGGATTCAGTGTTGGGTGGGGGTGGTTTTGGGGGGTTTCAGGGTTCAGGGTTTGGGATTTAGGGTCTTGTGATCTTGGCATGCAGCCGCAGCACACGATCAATTATACTGCGGTTTTCAACAAGTTTGCAAAGTTGTCCACCTCAAGGCGTCTTTCCGAAGGGCTCGGAACAGTCCTTGTAAAGGTTCTAATTAAAAGGGTTTCTTTCGGTTCCTCTAAAGGGGCTTGAAGAGTCCGAGTACGGGTGTTGATAGGGCTGCCTCGTAGGTTGGCCCGTTTTCCGGCCTTCGGCCGCCTCTACAAAATGCGTATTAAGCGGGCGATCTTTCTAGGATCTGTAAGGGTTTTGGGTTTAGGGTTCAGGCTGTTAGGGCGTTTGGGGGTTCCTACAAGTTTTTCAAGTTTTCATCAGGACTTCATTGGGCTGTTCTAAGTCAGGGCTCCAAGAAACTGCCGGCACCCGTTCCGAAGATGTCAATCAAGGGACTGTGCTGAAGAACAGCATTTTGACGATTTGGGCTTTCAACTACAAATATTGCTGTCACTGTTAGTTTAGGGCTTAGGGTTCATTACTGATACTACTATTTTGAATCCTGCCTTGCAGGTACGGTTGGGAGCTGCAGGTTTCCACACCGCATCTTTTCATGGCAAGCACACCTTGTCAGGAACGATCCACCGGACAGGTCCGAGCTTTCGAGTACTGGGGCCTGGGCCCCAAAACCTCGGTGGGCCAAAGCCCTCTTGAGCTCAGGGTTCAGGCTTCTTCTTTCGGCCGGGGGGTTTTAGGGTTTAAGGTTTGCGATTTGGGGGTCAGGGTGTTTTTGGTGTGAATATCTCCGCGGACTTTGTCTGTCCGGCGGCTTCGAGGCAGCATCAACCCTAAACCCTAAACCCTAAACCCTAAACCCTAAACCCTAAACCCTAAACCCTTGGCTTTCAACTGCAAAGCAAGGTCGGCTTCGGATTGGAGACCTCAGAGTGCCAGCTACAAGATCTGGCCAGCCTGGGCTTTTCTGTTGAATGAGCAAATCAACTAAGGCTTAGGGTTTAGGGTTTAGGGTTTAGGGTTTAGGGTTTAGGGTTTAGGGTAGTTCGGGAGCAGGTGTGGCCGAGATCAGCTGGACAGCTGCCGACACGAACCCGAGCTGCGGAAAATCAGAATCGCACGCCCTGGTGCAAAGAGAGCAGCTGGGTATCGGTTCAGGCATTAGGGCCCGCAGAGCCTGGCACCTCAACCCTAAACCCTAAACCCTACACCCTAAACCTTAATGTAACCCAGAGCTCCAAACCTCAACACTTAAAGCCTAAACCAGAAGAAACGACTCAATCCACGCGTTAGACGCCATACAAACCCCGCCGTTCCGAACCTGGCACGCACCCTTGCATCCTAAGTTCCGAAACCCAAGTACTGTAGCCCGAGGTTTTGGTTTAGGGTTTAGGGTTTAGGGTTTAGGGTTTATGTGAAGCTGGTAAAGGGGGTTTGGGGCTCAGAGTTTAGGATCTGTTCGGACTTGGGGTTTAGGCCGCCCTGGAAAGAAGTTGAAACAGCTTCTTTGATAAGATCCTCTTCGGCTCCATAAAGGAAAAACCGAAAAAGGTCCCGAAGGTCTAGCTAGTACTAGGATTCTTGGAGGAAGATCTAGAACACATCTGACTGGAAGGACATCCCACCTACGCCGGCTCGCATGGGCAGGTAACTTGGAGATTAATGGGACTACGAGCCTCCAGGGTATGAGGTTTAGGGTTTGGGGTTTCGGGTTTAGGGCTCGGGAGAAGGCAGGGGTTGCAAGCTCTATCCATAAGAGGTCAGCCCAGTCACCTAATGCTTGGAACCCATCGTTCTGGCAGCGTTGCGCCTTACAACAAGATATGAACGAGCAACAGAGCTCCGGAAAATCAACACTGCCCGCGCCGAGGCAGCATCTACTGCTTGAGCGCAAGCCTGATGTTCTTTGAGTTGTCGGCTGTGGAATTTAGAACTTCGGGGTTGAGGTGTCAGGCTAAGGGTTATCCGCTTTCTGGTCATTTACGCCAACAAACATAAGACAGAGAGAGTAGTAATTGGGCTTATACTACATACTTATAATCAGGAACTTTATGTATACATATATAGGGAATCAAGTTCATTCAGCTTTCAAGGAACCTTAGGGACTCAAGTTAGCTTCCCACACCAGGCCATGCCGAAATCATCTCCCCCAGCTCAGGTCCCGAAGGCATGGTTGGCTGCCATCTTCTGGGCGGAGAGAGCTCCAGTGCTCAACGTTGCCACCTGCGCTCCTTCGTTCTAAGCCGGGTCTGTAGCTAGTGAACCGCATCCTACACCCTTACCCCGAAGCTCGAACCGTCATGTGGGTAGCTTCCCTGGGTTTTTTTAAATCCCAAAAAGTACCCTAAACCCTAAACCCTNNCCCGTATGAAAAGGACCCTAAAAGGGTTCCAAGTTTAGAGAACTACGCATGTAGAGGAATCAAAACCTCAAGTCTGAGCACGACCCCCTTGAACCTCTAGTACTTAAAGGATCATGGGACTTAGTAAGTAGGGTTTAGGGTTTAGGGTTTAGGGTTTAGGGTTTAGGGTTTAGGGTTTAGGGTACTTAAAGGATCATGGGACTTATTAAGTAGG